CGCCAAATTACTACTGCATCAGAAAGTGATCGTATTAGCTCAACCTTGACAGATAAAATGCAGTTTATTACTTTAAAGATACACTCACTAATTCAGTTATAAGTTCCAGTAGCAAAGGCAATATCTCAGAAAACATCGCCCTGGGTCTCGGCTGTTGTTTTGAGAGTTTATGAAGTTCACCTTTGAATCCCAAAGCAGAGCAAAATGGCAACAAATTATAGGAAAATGATGGAAAAGAACGTACACTGTATTATTTTCGACCATGTGAGTTGGTGATTATGTGAGACATGATTTACTTTTCTTTCTTGTTTGCTTTTCTTTGGTAAAACACAAACTAATAGGCTGTTGGAGCAGTTCCATTTCAATCATATATGCCAATGAAATCAAGTCATTCTGTAGCAGAAAATGAGTCATGCTCTGATATCCTGCTACTCAGTATGAGCTCTCCTCTGACACTTCACGTTGGGTGGTGGTGCTGATGGAGAAAATGGTGAAGGCAGAATGACACCAGAGTAAAACATAACACTACGGAATCTGGGACACCATACTAGGGCACTTAGCAAACAAGCTGATCCCTGGAGCAGGGATCTGGAGACCGACCAGATAAAAGTAGCAGGAACAGCGTTACACCAGAATTATCTCTGGACAAAAAGCTGGCGTAATCCCGCAGAACATAATAGTTTACGTCTCAATCTTTAGCCAATGCTGAGTAGGCTTATGCAACCTTAGCATGAGGAAGAGGAGAACTCAGACAGAGGATTGTGCTTCATTTATGCACCACCGTAAGTGCTGGCTCTACAGAGCAACTCAAGAAAAAGGATCTGTTTCACTGGACGCCAATCACAGGACGCTGTGGCAGATTAACCAGAGCAAAGCAGGTCGCTGTTTACGCCTGCACGTCCCAACATCGTAAAGCTGGATTTGTAAATGGACGTACGGTGAGAGCTACACATGAAGCCAGTTATTTGGCCTTCACACACACACACACACACTCTATTTTACAGTCTGACTTATTGATCCCAATAAAAGCAGAGCAGTGTCACCTACCGTGGTTTGCTGCCTTAGCGTGAACAGGTGTGTAATGATTCTTCATGGTTCTGACCGGTGTCTCATCTTTGGGGGACCCGTCGAGCGCTGCGATGTTTTCGTGCTCATACTGAGATATGGGAACCGGTCCTTGTTGTCTCAAAATGTCAGCCAGGGCTCTGAAAGGAAACCGCAGTGATGTTAAAAACATGAACTGATATGTTCTCGTTTCCAATTGCCAACATTTTCTTTTCTTAGCTCTTCTTAATTTGTTTAGCTGCAGCTTCAATTTGAGCCACAGAGGTTTGGGGCAAGGCGAAAAGGAAATCCTAATTACATCCACAATCACGAGGGAGTCAGGTGGTCAATAAAGCAATGCACACGATACAGAGTGTTATTTGTACCGGACTCGAGCTCGAGGCCTGTTTGCAAAGCGTTAAATCAGTGTCTTTTCTTTGCAGCTGCAAAATAAAAGTGATATTTCACTAATTCTGCTTCCAACTTTTGGAGGCTCAGTGTCTGTCTCTGACACGGAGTGCCAGCAGTGCGCTTTCTTAGACGAAATGAAAAGGCAATTTAACTGTGTCAATGTCAACCTAAAGGAACCACATAGTCCACTTTTCCATAACTCTGTGACTTTGGGAGATATACTGTATATTAATAGCATTTCCCTTCCAGGATGAGCACACTTTGGCTGTTTCGTTTTCACAGACAGAGGCGACCTGATTTTGCATTGTCCCAGTTGATACCTCATTGCGTGCAGCAGGAGCACATCCTGTATAGTTTGCAGGAACTGACCCAACTTTAATCAGGTATAAAACTGCAAAATTGTGAAGGAAGCAAGTTTCACACAGCTTCTTCAAAACTGTAGGAGCAGCTGTTATAAATGTGATTACTGTTTATATGGAATTTTATTGCATAATCCTTTAATCAAATCTATTAGATAGATAGATAGATAGAATAAATTCTATCGATGTTATTTACAAAGAAGAAGACTCAATATGTAAAAAAGTACTTGGTAAAAATAAAGTCCTAAAAGTAAGTTACAAGTTTAGATAAACTTTGTGCCATGATTACATGAGCTCGGCTATATACAATATTCATAAAAGCTCGTGTAAAGAAGAATCTTTTAGGAAACAATAGAAAAAAATTTGGAGCAAGAATAATCCAATTTGATCATATTTTACAGTCAGAACATTAGAGATTTTAAAATGAAGCCTCAAAATGAACTGAGAAAAAATAATTACTGTGGTAAACCAAGTTTTACAATAGTAATTACAAAGGGCCAAGAATCGATCCTTGGGGAACACCGCAATTAAACTCACCTACTGTTGTTAGAGATCTAATAGCAACACTGTTTATGTAACAACGTTAATATAAAGGATAGGTATAATATTGCATATGTTTTCTTGTTGAACTGAACTGAAACCAAAAATCCTCCAATTTCAGTGATTTACGTGAACGTGAGTGAGTCGAACTGTTGCAAGACGCCTTTCATTTGTCTTTGAACATCTACAAAGTTACAGTTGAACTGTGTAGGGGTAGGTTTGAATAAGAATGTGTTTAGCCACATGCTAAATAGTAAAAATTATGGAAACTTGGAGCTTTTACATTTCAAATGAAGTCTCGTCCTTATTGATGTTATACGTTTCTGATAAAACTTTCATATAAAGAGTTTGAACATTAACCAGACGCCGCTCCCTAACCCTAGATGTGGTCTCCCGTGTCCTGGTGGATGTGAAGAGGTAAGTCAAACCAACCGCCCTGCACCAAATGCACCAAATTGTGTAACTTACGGAGCCCCGCAGGGGACATGGGAGAAAAAAAAATTTAAGACGGACTTTTGCGAGATCTCGCAAAAC